GCGGTCCAAGCACCGAGCCCTGTGGGACACCCCATCCACTTCAGTCGGATTACAGAGTGATCCGCTAACACGCACTTGGCGCTTCCGTTGGTGAAGCAAGATATCAATCCAACTAAGTACAGGATCGTGCCCGAAAAATTTGTAAATATTATCCGAGCATTATACGCGCGTAGCACAGGCAGAGTGAGGGCTTACGGCAAGCTGTCACCATCCTTCAATATCTTCAGCGGTGTAAGACAAGGATTCCCACTGTCACCTTTCCTCTTCAACTTCGCTATTGAAGAAGTCATGGATATTGCATTAATAGGACTGACTTGGAAGGTGTGGAGCTACCCCCAGGAGAACGACTTCTTGACTTGGAGTATGCAGACGACATTGCCCTCATCTGTGACAGCTCCCAGACGTGCCAAGCCGCGCTGGACAGATTAGCACTGGCTGTCAGCCGCTTCGGGCTTTGCTTTGCACCATCGAAATGCAAAGCGTTCCTCCAAGATTGGTAGGGATCGGCTCCTGTGATGACCCTTTGTGAGGATCAGCTAGAAGTCGTTCGGAAATTTAACTACCTGGGAAGTTGTATCAGCGCCCTTGGGATCGAAGACGAGATCACGAACCGTATAGCAAAAGCTCGGGACGCTTTTGCTAACCTTCGCCACTTATGGCGCCGGCGCGACATTACTCTCGCCCTGAAGGATAGAGTGCACAATGCAGCGGTACGTTCGACCCTACTGCACGGTTGTGAAACCTGGTCCCTAAAATCAGCAGACATGAAGAGACTAGTTACGTTCGACCATCGGTGCCTTCGCAGTTTGGCTCACATCTGGTGGGAACATCGCGTGAGTAACGAGGGTGTTCGACGCCTTGTTTATGGCATAGAAAAAGGAACTGAACCGCTCAGCACCGTTATTTCCCGCACCAGGCTCCGATGGCTCGGCCACATGTTGCGCATGTCAGCCCATCGACTTCCACGACGTGCGCTGTTTGCGCACTTGTGATGTGGATGGAAGAAGAGGAGGGGTGGCCAAGCGATGACTTGATCCAGAGGGATGAAGTCCATCACTTCGGAGCTAGCCTCGGTTGGAGCTTCACGGCTCCCTGGTTGGTGTACAAAAGACAGTGAACACGTTTGGCTGGATACACTTGCTGACATGGCAAGGAGCCGACCTCAGTGGCGTTCCTGCTGTGAGTTTCTTTGTCCTTCACCATCCCTTTTAGCCTCCCCTCCAACTACGATCTCGTTTCTTAGCGTAAAACATAATAATTTTTCTTTTTGCCTAGTAGCCGGCTGGTAGCTTAGCTGGCATGCAACTTTTGTATTTATTTTCCTTTTCCATTTATGTATTGCGGCACAGTATCTGAGGTGTTATCCACCTCTAGCTGACGTGTATAATGATCGATAAATGAGTGAAGAACAGGATCGTCGATTCCGGTGCTCTGTAGCCTGTGAAGTATCATGCGGTGATCCAGTCGGTCGAAAGGTTTGGTGAAGTCCAGACAGATGATGTCTACTCCGACCTTATAATCAGCCTCTTCTGTTCAACTATCTCGTGACATTAGTAAGTTGGTGGTGCATGACCGGTGTTGACGGAAGCCATGCTGTTCCGGTGCCAAGATGTTGCATTTTTCTAGGTAGTCCATTAGAGCGTCAGTGACGACACCTGTTATATTACCTCCGTGAGGATATGGAGGAAACTTACCGAATGATAGTTTGCAAGATCTAAACGCTTATAGCCATTAAAAATTGAAGTAATAATGCCATGCTTCCACATAATGTGAACTTGCTGTTCAGCGAAGCTCCTTTGGAGAACTGTGACAGTGGTTCAGCTAGCTTGGTGGTCGCAGCCTTCAGTGCTTTAAGGCGGATGTTGTCTGCTCCTGGAGAGCTATGACCGCACAGTGACAGTAGCTTCCTTAGCACAACTGCTGGGTTGCAAATTACGTGTGCGAACAATGAACAATGATTTATAACGGGTAAAAAAGCAGGTGCTTGACATGTCCCGTAGGGTGTATAGCGTGATAAAAAAGATAGCGAAGGGATAATGGAGTCTACATTTCGGGCGCTTACAGATGTAACTGCACTGTCGTATAGAGGGAGTTTGAAATGAGAATGTACTCACACAAAGCAACAGGGGAGTGGTTATTGTTCACATCATAGGCGAGAAAAATAAAAAAGGTAGCAAGGACAACGCTTACTCGTGTGCAACAATCTTGGGTCGACAGGATACAGTAATCCAGTTTCTGTAATAGTAGCGTTTATCAAATTTCGTGCAAGGAGTTTGGAATGACTCATTCTCGAGTAGGGTTATGGCACTAGCCCCTGTCTGTTGTGCATTAGTGCCAGCATCTGGTGGTCATGGGCTATAGCACGTAGTGTAAATGTGACAGGGTATCGTCAAGGCGTTTTTTGAAAAGGGATAGGGTGGGTGCATTAATTACATGTTCCTGGAGGGCGTTCCAAGGCTGTGCCACTCGAAGGGAGAAATAGTTTCGCCGACATTCCAGGCGGCTGTACTGCGTGACTAACTTAAACTGGTGACCTCTTAGCGAGGTGTTTTGACTGAGTATTAGAAGGTAATGGCATGGGTGATTGGGGTCTCTCAGGATTAGGTACACCATTATGAGATCGCCCCTTAGACGCCGATAACGTCCACTGTATATTTTGAGGGTCTTCAGCCTGAGTGGGTAGGGGAGGCTGGTCAAACCTCTGACGCTTTTCGTTGCCCTACGTTGTGCAGTATCGAGCGCGGTGAGATGGTGCGTGAGCCAGGGTTGCCACGCTTGAATAGCGTACTCCGCGTGCGGCCTCACGTACGCACTAAGCATTTTTGGGAAGACTGAAGGGTCAAACTTCGCGAAGGCTGTACGAAGAAGGCCGAGGTACTGGTTCGCTTTCTTAGCTGCCTTTTCAGTCTGCCTCGAACAACCGAGGTCATCTTGAACTATCACACCGAGATCGCACTCGTGAGAAGCCCGATGTAGAATTTGTGGTCCTAGGCGGTAGTTGTGCATACTCTTGTGCCGTATACTGAACACTTTGCACTTGGTGACGTTGAAATGCAGCATGTTCTCGATGGACCATGTGTACGCTTTGTCCAGGTCCTCCTGTAACACCGTGTGATCCTCCACTGCAGCTATAGTGCGCCATACCTTTAGGTCATCAGCAAATAGCAAACAGTTAGAAGATAGCACACTCGCGAGATCATTTATGAAGACCAGGAACAGGCGGGGTCCAAGTACCGAGCCTTGAGGTACGCCGCATTGAACTTCGATGGATTCTGATAGGTTGCTTCGAACCCTCACATTCAGATGACGTTGAAGGAGAAAGTCTCCTATCCAACCCAGAACAGGATCACCGATTCCATATTTCTGGAGTTTGTGGAGGAGAATGCGATGGTCTATACGGTCGAATGCCTTTGAGAAATCCAAGTAGGCCGCGTCAACTCCTACACCAGCGTCCACAGATTCCGTCCAGCTTGCACGAGCAATCAAGAGATTAGTTGTACAGGAGTGATTTCGGCGAAATCCATGCAGTTCCGGAACGAGAATTTTGCTGTTCTCCAGCTACCCCATCTAAGCTTCAGCTATAATGGACTCCATAACCTTGGAGATCACAGGCAGTAGTGTTATCGGGCGATAGTTTGCTGGTTCAGCACGGCTACCACTTTTGTAGATAGGCGTGATGATTCCGTGCTTCCACATCGTGGGGACGTGCATCTCGTTCAGACATCGTTGAAAGAAAATTGCTGATGGTCCTGCCAAACTCATGGCAGCAACTTTCAACGCCTTCGGTCGAATGCCGTCCGCACCCGGGGAGCTGAACTCGCGCAGAGACATCAGCCTCTTCAGTACAGCTGCGGAGGTGAACGATATGCGATTAAGCCCTGATGGCGGCGTTATCTGCTTAGGCAGGATGAATGGTGATTGCGCGCTTTGGAAGGTACGGCCAAATTGTTGTCCAAGGACGTTGGCCGCCTCTTGTGCGGTTTGGGCTAACCCGCATGCTGTGTGCAGAGCAGGAATACCGCGCTTAACACGGCGCAAATTGTTTACGTGTCTGTATAGCAGTTTGGAATTGGAGCAAAACTTTTCCACCAAACCTTGTTGGATCTTAAGTTTATCCTCCCGGACGAGTTTGACACAGTGGTTCCTTTGTATTGTGTAGACTTCCCAGGTATGGTCGTTCGGGGAGGCTATGTATGTTTGCCATGTCAAGTCCCTTAATGCCATGCACTTACGTGTCCTGCTCCTTACGAAAGGCTTCATCCTTTTAGGTCGGTAGAGTTTGGCTTCAGATCTCCTTGCCATGAGCTTGGTAAATATGTTGCCACGTGCTTGGAGTCTTCAATGTGCTTGACTTTATGAGATAGGTAGAGGCTGCGATTCCGAAAACTGCGGGGTATTGCAGCCACGGGGCTTTAGCAGCTTCTTCGGCGCTTTGTACTCTACCGCCTGTTGTGAAAGTGGAGGGATGACATACTTTACTTTACGAAGATAGTATTTGAGCGAGGTCCGGACTGGTGATAGTAATGCACAGCACACCATTTCACAACAATAAAGCAGAATTGGTAAAGCCAATGGAGCAATGTTCCTTTGATCTGAATCATACAGCCCTACCTGTTATCTACTCATGCATCCGATGTGATTGGGCTACTTTAGGGTAAAAACGAGCTTGCTATATTGTCCAGATATTTGGTTTATCGTCGCAGTAGTAACCGAGTCTCAAGCGTTCTGTGTGTTACGCGCCAAGTGAGAAGAGTCGTTATTTTATTGTATATGAACCAATGTCAGCCATCTATTTCTCGTTTGACGAATTTCTTTAGGAAACCCATTTTTGCTCCAGTACAAGCCTTTTAACTACGACTCATGTCTACTTTGCCAATGCTCAGACAAACCATACTAAAATGGTACAACGTTTCTTATATTTATGAGCGATAAACTAAAAGTATAGTTTGCTTATTTTCTACCTATGAACTGAACGGTCATGCGGTAATTGCTTTTTGCAGACACTCCTGAAGATTATAAGCCACCCGGCTTTCGGGACGCGGAAAACATATCGTTTGACTTCGAAGGTAGCCCAGTGAATATCCGAATCGGGAATGTCCAGACGGTACTGTGCTCTTTCATCTTACAAGTATCCTTTATAGGTCCACCATAAGTAAGCAAGTGCATTTAGCGATTTACTCTGACAAAAGTCTGAAGATGCATATGCAGGTCAACAGATTCTTCCTGAATACTTTAAAACGCCCCGATGGGGATTTAACCAGTCCAGCGGATACGTCTCAGCACTTAGTTGAGATGACCACACAGGTAATCAGCTCCTCGCAGCAGTGTGATGAAATTGACCACTCCTAATATTGTCATCATATCCACTAACATTAACGTAGACACTATGATCTCACTGCTCTGCTGAAAATGCGTCACCTTTTCTTTGTTTTCAATCCGATAGGTAAAGGAAAAAATGACACAGCTAGTTATTATCTCTTTGCTTCTCACAACATGCAATCTGCGAGAGATATACCGTCTCAGCTGCTTTCCACCCACGAGTAGAGTAGTTTTTACCGTGATAGACAAACACTTACAGAGCTACTAAACTGCTCCGGCCTTTCCACAAGTTTGATGGAGTGCCATTTTATTATTTATTTTTGGCTTCCTCAGACCCGATAACTCCTGATTCGCCCGATATACTGGTGTTTCTCTTCCGCTACGACTTAACTGCTGCTGCTGCAAGTCGATTGTCGTGTTTCGCTGTTCTGCACTGGGGATGGTGCTCCCTGGTTCTGTCCCCCTTAGGACGGACTTTGTCGTTTTGCTTGCTAATTTGTGTAAAGCTAGCTCACAACATAGCACCGTCGTCGTTAGTTTCTGTTGGCTGTGGCGCCAACAATATCGGGTCTTTAATTCCGCTTTTCGAATTCGTACTTGCCTCCGTACGTACTGTTTTCGGTATATTTGAGCATTATTCAACCAATTAGCCAGATTGTGAACTCCAAGTGCGTTACATCCGTTACTGAGTCACAGATATTGTATGACTGGAAAGCGGAATATTTGATGTGTCCCCGAGCCAGTTAACGTACTGCGTGGCAAAGATGTATCCTTGGCCACGAAATTTCCATAAAGCGGAGACTTTACATCGTTGCTTGTGAATCATCACATGCTTCTTTATGGCCGTGATTCCTCAACCCTATCCGGTCGGCCGGTGGCTGAATGCATAAGGTGTCTGGATTGTGATTTACTGGTCACCGACATGGCCCCGCGTATCACATGCGCACACATGACCGACGGTTGTCGTGGGGTATCGAAACGTAGCTGCAACGTGCTTGCATTCTGTTGATGCCTTCACCCATTCAGATCCACTTTGGCTCTTTAGGCTGGATGATGTTCCAACAAGATTCGAGTCGGACTCTGTATTAGTTTGTTAATAAAATAGTGTGGCTTTATTCTTAAACTTTGAATGCACATATCTTTTGTTAATGATTGCGTTTGTACTCAAAATTAATGCCACTTTAATCGATATGCCTTTGCCAACGGCGGATAAGTTTATTCATCCGAGATCAACAAAATTCTTAAGTTCCGGTGACGATGAACTGGTCGAATATGCTTTCGATATATTTGGTTGTTAAAACATTTCCCTCGGAAGACGCTATCAAGGTGCTTAAAAATATGCTAACCGGTCAGGGGGGTATGGTGCAAGACGCAAAACTTCGTAGCCCAGCTCGTACAGCTTTCGCAGGGTTGGTTATGCGACGTGTGGCCGAGCGTTACCGTGGAATTTGCCCCTCCTGTTGACCATTGCGGGACACTTTTGTTGGCTTTTTCCGTGTATTTCCGAAATTTAGTAACAATATTTTCAGATGTAGTGATTTTACTTGGGTTTGGAAAGCCGTGATGGATGCTACCAGCCGCAGTCCATCAAACAGTCACCATAACATGTACGGGTACAATTTCGGCTTCGGGAAGTGTTGTGGACCTAGTTAAGGGTCCAGCCATTACGTAGTGCGTCATCGATTGTAATAAAGGATCCGCTTTTTATCGCACATCCCGGTCCAGGTGAAAAACGGGCATTATGACGCAGAACAAGGGCAGGCAACACTCCAAAGGACCATTTTTGGTATATTTATTCGTTTCGTGCCTTAGCTACTTATCATGCCTTTTCAGTAATCTAATTCCCAATACATTTTGGAAGACTCTCACGTACGATACTTCTAAGTAGGAAACATGGTCCGAACAGTTTTAGGCTGATCCGATTCCATTAAAGCGCTTCGTTGGTCGTTGGTTATTTCCGACGCTATTCATCTTTAAGCGTCTGGGAACCTTTCGGGATTTTTGAAACCAACATTGCGCAATACGGTCACTAGTTGCACCATGACCAAACGCATTGTTTCCTCATGAATGGTTTCCGCTGTATTTCGACTGAGACCACATTTGGACAGTAAAATGGCGCGAAATTGTCTTCTCTCTATGCAATATTTTATCTTCAGTACAAGTGTAAAAACGTGTTCCCGGGCTGAGTAATTACTACCTATAAATAAAGCAAAAAACACGCTTTAAGATGGTATACAGATTGCAGGCACATTTGCAATTTTTTAAATTATACAGCCATCATATTTAAAATAACAGTGCGGTGTGTTTGGGCGAGCTGCACCCAGCGATTCCTCCACTGGGGACCCATCCCAGCTCTGTACACCCAGTTTAATGGCATTTTAATTAAATCAGACAGAACACCACTACAACGGTCGCAATCGTCACTGTGCTACGAAAACCAGAAATAATAAATAAGCTCATCGAGAAATAACAGTCAAACGTCTAAAAGATGAGTGCATCTTGTGTGGATACTGAGTGCATCGACTGAGTTCTCCACAACTCATCTACGTTTTCAAATAGCTCCAATTCCATGCTTCGTTGTTCTACTGAAACGCCTTTAGAGCAGCGAATGGATAAAGCGGTTTCTCCTATTCCTAACAACAATACTCGCATGCAATTGAATTCCTTATACAAAAGGATAAAAAGAAAGCCTAAGTGCTTGGAACAGGGGTGCAATGACAACTCGTTGGCTTTATCACAGTCCAGTCTCAACGACCCAGACAAGTCTAAGGATAGACTACCTGATGTAATCCATAGCTTACTGCCGCCCACGGACGACTTAAACAATTCAGGGACCAGTGACCACAAAAAGTACAGCTACGAAATACTCGGTTACACTCGAAGTTCTCTTTTCTATCAGGTTCCTCAAAATCACCAGTGAAAACAACCTTCTCTGTTGATGAAGACCAATAGCAAATGTCTCTTGGCTATGCCTAGTTTTTATCCTACACTCCACAATAGTTACTGGGTGTGCAAAGATAACGGTAGGAAATCGCCCAGTAGGACAATGTTGCCCCCCACTCCGCTCCATGTTCCTCCAACCTCTCCAACGGCCTCTTCTAACAAACCCTATTTTAGCGCTGGAGGTATTGGACTTGCACCCATCCCACCTCAGATACATCCGGCGGAAGTCAGCAATTTGAGCCCACTCTGCTCAATCTTTACTGATGACAAAGCTATTCCTATTGGCAAACCAACGGCAGTCTAATCATGATGCCTCAGCTCCTTTCGTGTCCTGAACTGTCTCGATATTCACATATGATACCCTTTCCCTACTCACAAACTTTCTCAGTTACACCACTGTCGCACTTAACTACCATGTACGCCATGCCCGAACCCAAATACTCAGGCGATCATGCAACGGATTTCGGCAATTCCAAAACACAGTAACTTTTCAGTGATTCAGCTTAATGTCATATACATAATCCAGAGACTTCATTTTTAAATACACTTGTACAGTTCAATGACGCACAAGCTATCTTCGTCACTGAAACTTGGTGTTCTTCAGTTACGCTTGACTCTACTCTGATGATTCCAAACTACCAACTGTTACGACAAAGTCGCCGCACCAGAAAAGGTGGAGGGTGTATCAAATATGTACAAAAACATTTACAACTAAACGTATAGACAACTCACAATTAGAAATGTCCCTGCATCCATTTGGCTTTCAGTGGCAGGTGCATCCTCTCACATACTAATCGCCTGTATCTACATCCCAACGCGCCAAATGTGTGTACCACCAACATCATTTCTGCATTTGACTTTATATCAGAGTTGCCATCCAGCCAAAAGATGATCCCCAGTGATTTCAGCTTACCGGAAATACGCTGGTCATCCCATCCATGGTCAAACTTGCACACCACTTTTCTATCTTCCATCAGAGCAGGGGGCTGGACACCATAAGTTACCAGTCCAACTAGGTCGGCCTAGTTTGGAGGCATCCGATTTCGGATTTGCCTGTCACTGTGGCCAGCCACAGAACGCCTGCGCCTACAGAGGGACCATGGGTGGCTTGCGCTGCACCACCCACAGCTCCCACCACACACCCCATATCCAGTGTAAACCCGAAGGAATAAGACCGGGAGGCATGTGGATGGGAGCCACGTTTCATCAACGGAGGTGGCCCAATCTCCTTTACAGACAAACACACGCACGCTGTATTTGGGTGGGTGACTGGACCGTAGTCCGCTCCACACTAAGTACATGAAACTACTCTTCGAGCCTAGCACGGCCACAAGAACCGTGCACCCCGTCCCCTCCAGCAACGACCAACTGTCTTCTAGAGCCAGTATGGACGAGGTAGTTGGTAGAAGACAGGTATGCATCATTCACCATTCATTATACACATCAGCTAGAGGTAGGAAAACACCTCCGCTATTGTGCCGCAATACATGAAAGAAATACATACATACATACATATAACACAATACACAAAGGAAAAACAGATACAACAGCTGCATGCCAGCTGAGCTACCAGCAACGGATAGGCATCGTTCCGGTAAGCTACCAGCCGGCAACTAAGAAAATAGAAAAAATTATTATGTTTTACGCTAAGAAATCAGATCGTAGGTGGAGGGAAGGCTAAAAGGGATGGGGAGGGACAAAGAAACTCACAGCAGGAACGCCACTGAGGTCGGCTCCTTGCCATGTCAACAAGTGTATCCAGCCAAACGTGTTCACCGTCTGTTGGACCCCAACCAGGGAGCCGTGAAGCTCCAACCGAGGCTAGCTCCGAAGTGATGGACTTCATTCCTCTGGACCAAGTCATCGCTTGGCCACCTCTCCTCTTCTTCCACCCACAGACCCGGTGAGCGTACAACGCACATCGCGGCAGTCGGTGGGCTGGCATGCGTAACACGTGGCCCAGCCATCGGAGCCTGGTGTGGGAAATAACGGTGCTGAGCGGTTCAGATCATTTTCCTGTGCCATAAACAAGGCGTCGAACA